TTTATTTCATATATACAATATGGATGTCAAATCGAAAAGAGTTAATTGCTAAATAAACCTTAACCTTTTTGCGTTTGGCAATTTTATCCCACACTTTGAGTAATTGCAATATAATCTCGATCTCAATTTACTTATTGCGAGTCGAACTTAAAACCGGTTGGACCTTCAAAAAGCTGGTCGATTTGAAGGAGGTTCGGACAGATCAGAGCTCATATTTACCGGTTCACTCAGGATCTAGGAGGAGACTCATCATCGGTAGCTTACATTGAAGTGGAATTTTTGGCTTTGTACATGGATATACATTAAATACATGGAAATTGTCAACTTACTACGTAGACTGCATAAAAACCCATGTCAATGGAAGACTTAGATGCAAAATCGATCCACAAATCTCTAAAATCAATCACTCTGCACCCAAATTTGCAATAAGTAAATTGAGGTCGAGATTATATTGCAATTATCCAAAGATTGGGATAAAATTGCCAAACGCAAAAAGGTTAAGGTTTATTTAGCAATTAACCCAATCGAAAATCATCAAAAGATGATTAATTTGATATATTATATATGTAAAACCAATAAGAAATACAAAAGTTATCAACTTTTAAAATACATTTATAATTCAATATCTTATTGAAGGAAACAAATCAAAATTCAAGGATATTTTAGTCACTTAGTGCCTCACTATATAAAGTTACAAAGAATTAAATGGTTATATTAGTATAAGTGATATCAAAATACCTAAGTTAGCTAAATAATATTTATGGAATACCCGAACCTAGATTATTAATTATTTATATATCAATATTATTTGTCCAAACCTAATTACGAAGCATGATTTTTCACAAAGTAAGATTACGAAGCACTAGAAGCAGCCACGTAGGCTCAGCGCATTCGGAAATTATATATAGGGAGGATTGCTGGGGGGACAAGAAACAATTTAAGTTTGGGAAGATTTGATATGTCAAAAAGTGCATATTGTTTTTAATAGTGTATTTTTATACGCTTAACATATACCAGTGTTTTAAATACCGTACCGGTGGTCATACCGGTCCAGCCACCGGTACGTTGTATTACCGGTCGGACTGGTAATATCTGTGATATTATCGGATTAGCAAATATAATGATATATATGAATCTACATTAAAATATATAATGTCAAATGTAAAAAAGTATAAAAATAAATGACCATAATAATTAAATTTAACTTCTCAATGAGATAAAAAGAAAACATTTTAATTACCAATTTAAATTTTATTATTTTAAATTAAAAAAAATTATTATTTTCCATTTTTTATTGGCCGGTATTTTGGACCGGTATTTTGCGGTGTTTACGGTATAATCCCGGTACAAAACGGTATAACCATAAATCCGGTATTTTGAGTGTAATTGTACCGTACTAATGGTCGGTATCCGGTATTACCGGCTGGTACGATACGATATTTAAAACATTGACATATACACAATTTATATTTTTCGGCTTATTCATTATTTAGATGAATTTATTTTCTTGGCTATTTAATATTTACTAGTATTTGACCCTGTGCATTTGCACAGATGTAAATAAAGTATTGTGGGTTATTTGTATGCATATAATGATTAATTATTTTTCTTTAACTTTTTTGCATGCCAAATTTACAAATAAAGAAGTTAAAATATTTACTTTTTTTTTTTTTAAATTGCGTTTATCTGATTAGATGTAATGTATATTTTAGTACGTCTTTTTTTTTTTGAATTATTTATCATTTATTTAGGAATTTCAAATACGTTTTTAATGTAACCACAATAATAACATATAATCACATTAAACGATCAACACATTATATGGTCAACTGTCACTAATAAAAATTTTAAAATGATTTTTGTAATTTGAAGTGATTAATATTTATTATTTAAAAATTAAATGAAAGATTAAATACATAAAAAAGTAACAGTTTTTGGAGGGGAAAATATTAAATTGCCACATAAGTAAAATTAATTAGGTTTTATTAAATGCTATTGGCTAATAATTATATATATATATATATATATATTTTCAATGCATTTGAATATTTTGTTGATGCAAACATTGGCGAAAATTCATGTTTTCAATTATCGGGCGCCCCAATACCAATCAAGTTGGCCCACAAATTATGTTACAAGACAGGCCCAAACTAATGAAATTAAATTAAATCAAGAATATGGACTTCAAGGTTGTTAGTTGGGTAGCCAATGGACTTACAAAAGGCTTGTGACAAAAGAAAACTGAACTTGGTCCTTACATGACTTGATTGGTTGTAGGAGTTGTGGCTAGTGCTGAGCATCGGACTCAGAGAATTTCGAACCATTTTGAAAATCGACCCGAAATCATTTTGAAATAATAAAAAAAAAAACCGTTGACCGTTTGACTTTCTCTGAACCAACTGAACCAAAAAAACAATTGGTACAGTTCTGGAGATTTCACAAATATTTGTATTGAGAACCTAACCGAATCGAACCATCCCATACCGTAACGAACCGAATAACCGAAATTAAGAACTGAATTATAAAAATAGATGTGTGTTTATATATTCTATATCAACTTTGATCATACATAATTTGAGAATTTTTAAAATGCAAATAAAATATAGTAATAACAATTAAGTTCCACTTAATTTCATGATTAGTAATACTTGATCTACAATTGAATTTTTCATGTTTCAAAAAATATATATATTAAATGGAATGAAATGTTAATGAAATATTATTTTTTAAAAAAAAAATATTCAAACTTTACATAACCTTGTGGAATAATTAGTCTTATTCTATCTTATAACTAACATGGTATGGAAGGTTAAAGAAATATTATTTTCATATAAGAATTTATTATATTTTGTTTGGATTTTAAATTTTTAATGTTAGTTGCATAAATGTAGAGTTAACTAAAATTTATTTAAAAATAAAATCTTTAGTATGATGAATGTTGGATTAAAAAAAATTATAAAAATTAAAATATAACTAGCTGGTCATTAAAAAAAAATTAAAAATACTAAAAATATTCGAAATCTGAACTTAACCAAATCCAACCGAACCGTTTTGAAAGTCCCAATATCGAACCGAACCGATAAATAATAATCTCCGAACTGAACCGAACTGAATCGAATTATGTTACGGTTCTATAGATTGAATTTTAGTAATCTCTGAATATCGATATGGTTCGGGAGATTTGTCAATCTCTGAACCGTACCAACCCATGCTCACCCCTACTTGTAGCCACGTGGTAATATTTTTCTTAGGAGTCCTATGGAGACACGCAACCACATAAGAAAAAGAGGTGGCATTTATTTGTTGGGAAAAAATGGGCATTACTATTTACCGTCCCCTATTACCAGTCACCGCCCTCCTTGGACGATTTTTCCCTTTTCATTTGTTCTAAAATCTCATAAGAAACTCTGTCCGGCGAAATGTCGTCTTCCTCAAGGTAAATTTTTCGCCGTCGGCCCCGACGATCGCAGACGCGACCGGCCGTGTCCAACCGCCGAAACTGGACAGCTTTAAAGGCATCTGGCCGGTCTGGTAGGACACGACCATGGCCGTACGCGATCACGGACCGGTCCGCGACCTAACAGACCGGCCGCACAACCCACATTGTATCCGGCGGCGACGGTCGGACATGACCCAGTTCGACCGGTTCGACCGACCAAACACCATTTATTTTTTTTTTTAAAATAGAATTATTAGAAATTATTATGTTATTGATTCAAAATAATTATGTTAAAAATTGTACTCTAGATATTATCGTGTTAGGAATTAGAAATTATTATGTTATAAATTGGACGTTAGATACTATCGCGTTAGGAATTAGAAAGTATTATGTTGTAGATTCAAAATAATTATGTTATAAATTGGACGTTAGATACTATCGCGTTAGGAATTTGAAATTATTATGTTGTAGATTCGAAATAATTATGTTATAAATTGGACGTTAGATATTATCATGTTAGGAATTAGAAATTATTATGTTGTAGATTCGAAATAATTATGTTATAGATTATAATTTAACATGTTTTAAAATTATAAATATTGTACTATATTGCAGGTGTCATTGGAAGATTTTTTAGAAGATGGTAGTGATTACAGTTCCGCTTTCGATACAACAAATTTTTTTATAGTGATGAGGAGGCTATTAATGATGCATAAAGTGCGACACTTCTGTATGGTTTCGATTTGATTATTTCGAAACAAACAAAAGAAAGAAAGGTGAAGATTTTGAAGTGCAAACGAGGCGAACGTTTAGTATTTTAATATGTTAATTTAATATTTTAATAGTAATTTTTTGGTTTGAAATACATAATAGATGTGTGTAAAAATATATATAAAAATAATATTTTTAAATATTTTTATAAAATACAGATTTGGCTCATGTACTAAATTAAATATATTTAAAATTTCTAAAATTGCAGTCAAGTCTTTGAGTTTTATCTAGTTTTCAGAGTTGTGCTTTCCATGAAGTCCGGTCAACACTGCCGTGGTGTCGCCGCGCTAGCTGCCTCACCATTACATCGTCGCCGTAAAAGGCGGTGCAACTGTCATCATCACCGCCAAGATCAGCCGTAGTGTGTGTGAGTGGCGGCGACAGGATTGGTGTGACGATGGATCTTCGCAGGATGCTCGCGGCTGAATCTGGCGGCGGCTCGGAAGCGCTGAGACACTCTGGCTAGAGGTCGGCCCAATTGAAGTTTGTCCGGAGAGAAAAAAAAGGACACTGTGCCAGGGTTGTCGGCGTCTCGACCCTCAGTAAAATGACGAATTGATGTGAAGTAGCTCCGATGGGAGGTCGACAGCGGGAGTGACGCCAGTCAGCAGTGAGTCGGTTGTTCTGTATGTGTGTGTGCATGAGAGAGAGAGAGAGAGAGAGAGAGAGAGAGAGAGAGAGAGAGAGAGAGAGAGAGAGAGAGAG